TGTAATTAAAATAGTTTGTTCTTACAATTGACTCCTATTCAAACTTATTTAGATATCTTCAATTCAGTTACGTGTTCTTATTTCAAGTTGACTCATCCACAATGTAATTTTGATCATTTGTAATTGTAATTCTAAAAGTTAAATAATCACTAGTTAAATGGTTCATTATTGATGGCAATAATTTCATTGTGACTTTCATGTAAATTGTTCTTACCACCAAATGTACCAAAAGTAATTACAATGTTCATTTTAGATATCTACAATTACAACTAAACTACAGCTATCACAAATAAAATAACAGATTCTATTGTGATTAGTTGTAATTCAATTATTGTAAAAGTAACCAGTAAGATTGAAATGTAAGATTTGCATTTAAAAAATAGCATTTGTGATATTTGAAATATCTCTTGGTTCAGTGCTAAACATTGGTGTTGTATTTTGATAATGACCATTCTTAATGTTATTCCCGTAAAACACCTTCCACGCAAGATAAGTCGACGAATGGCTTCAGCCTGACCACGCCCACATATCTGAAATGCTTTGTTGATTTGTCAGGCATATCAGAAATGTTATTCTTGATATCTAAAAATTGAAAATTCCTTTTTTACATGTAACAATCTTTTTTCAACTCCTAAAAATCAAATTAAGTGATAGTTATGCTTACTGTTGAAAACATATTTAGGGTTAGATTCAGGATCCGGTTTTGGTTAGCATCTTTATGTATCATGTTAACTTTATCCCACTGATAACTTCAATTCATATTTCTTTTATTTTCCAGATGTTGAAATGTCATTTAGATTGAAAACCAGTGTTAGGGTTCACTGTAGGTTAGGTTTGCTTTGTATCCACATTGTCATAATAAGCAAAATATTCAGCCATGACAGAAAATGTAAAACTGTGCTCATGTACTTCAACACAACAAACTAATACAGAACCTCAGCGGGCTCACAGAGGGTTGGGATATTAGGTCCGATTATAACTCCATTCCAGATCTAGACTTGCATATGTGATCTATAAGTTAATCATGCTGTCTCTGTTTGCAGGTGAGCACTCACGGCTACTCTCAGAACCAGATCCTGGTGTGGAAGTATCCGTCGCTGACGCAGGTGGCCAAGCTGACCGGACACTCCTACAGAGTGCTGTACCTGGTGAGACTGCAGCTTTAAACTACTGGCCATGCAGCTCCTCTGTCAATATTTAGAGAAAGAGCTATTCAGATGCTTCCTTTTAATTATCTTATTTCCTATTTACAACATTTAATAAGTTTTTCTTATCCCATCAAGGGTCAGGGGGTTAATATGCTGATTGAAAAAAATTGGCAAATTGGTTATGTATGTGATATTGAAAAATTACCTTTTCCTTATTCACGCTGTTTTTGGGACAGCCTAGTCACCTTTTTTATATGCAAATAATGACTCTTTTTCATTCATTAATATACGTAACTTGTGACATAAGCAATCTAATAAATGTATTAGAGCAGGGGTTCCCAAACTTTTTCAGCATGAGACCCAAAACAGAAATGTTGTGGTCCTATGGGACCCAAGCTCAAAAAATGTCGTGATTTTCCATAATATCTACAGTTATAAACAAAGAATGCAACACACCATGAATTTAAAAATGTAAATGAAAATATTTATTTAATTATAAAAGTGCATCGCAGCAATTAGGTTTCTCACCATAACAACCTTCCCTTTGAGCTTGCCCAGAAAAAAATAAGGATCAAAGCAGAAAGTCGAAACATGGGACATGCAGTCAAGTATATACAGTAAAAATCAAATTTAAATTATACAATTATCAAAAGTGCAATATTAAGTTTGTCGCTAGCTCAAAAACTATGTACACACCATTTTAAACTATTTTAAATGAACAAAGAACAAACATGTGGTAAACAGAAAGGGACAAAACACTAACTGAAGTGCAGTCAAGTGTATACAGTACATCACAGGTGAAACCACATTTAAATGATCAGAAGTGCAACATTAAGTTTGTCACTAGATCAAAAACTATGTACACACATTTTTTAAACACTTTTAAATGAACAGAGCTGTTTTAAAACACTCTGAGAGACAAAGAAACTCCAACACTTGGCAACTGATTAACTTTTTTTTTTGTGGAGGCTGACTTGATAGGATGCCCTCAGTGCCCCTCTGTTCCCTTTGAATGCCTGAAAATAACAGAGAAGATATTATCATTAACATTGCTGGGTTATTGGGTGATTTTTAATAGCAGCCGGAGTACGCTATATACCCAATGTGGACCTGGCAACCGCATTTATAGCGCATTACACTACATGTTACTTGTTAGACGCTTTTATCCAAAGCGACTTACATACTCAATACTGTGGGGAATCCCCACAGAGGGATTTTGACAGGGTTTTTGCACAAAAGATCCAAGCGCGCACAGAAGAAATCTGAGCCGCTGCAGAATGTAGTGGACTCGCGGGAGCGAGTAGAGGACGCGCGAGAGCGCGCAGCTGGCGGTCCGCTCCGGGGCTCAGTCTGCATTTCATCCAACTTTGCATTAACGAAACAATTTCACAACAGACCGTGGCAAACTCACAAAAACACAAAACAAATGATTAAAATGAGTGACTTACTTTTCCGCCGTCAAAACACTGCTTCTTGAAAGACTCTTCTTTGCAGATGAAAAAATCCTTCGATTTGTCCCGATGCAGAGGATGTTTTGTTTGGAGATGCAGGTCCAATTTATTCATTTTCAAGCTTTCGTTACTGAGCACCTCTCCACATAAAACACACTGAGGCCGCTCCTCTCCATTTCTAACAGCTTTTGTGAAGCCAACGTTTAAAAACTCCTCTTTGTATCGTCTTTTTGCCATCATGTACGATCGGGATTAATCAACAGACAATAAACTTTCGCGGGGGACGCGTCAGAGCTGATACAAATACAATCTTTTATTTTTAGTTTATTTGTATTTAGAAAATTAAATCATTCAATATACAATGCTATATTGCATAATTTCTTTTTCAAAATAAAAAATAAAATAAAAAAATTATAAAAAGATTGTATTTGCAACGCAGCCATCAGCTCTGACGCTGTGTGTGTGTAGCAATGCATTTAACTGCGACCCAATCAAAAATGGGTCGCGACCCTGAGTTTGGGAAAGGCTGTATTAGAGTATAAAGTCCTCTACTTTGGTTGAGATGAAGTAGCACCACCGAAATAGTTTTGAATTCCAATTTACCGATTGAAACATCCCAAAAATGTCCCCCTCACCAGTTATTCTCTCTCTGTCCTCTGTTGGCAGGCTGTGTCACCAGACGGGGAGGCCATCGTCACAGGAGCTGGGGATGAGACACTACGTTTCTGGAACGTCTTCAGTAAGACACGCTGCACCAAGGTACAGTCCAATAGAGCGCAACATAACCATCAAACTGTCTGACGTCTTTGTTGTTGGAAGTTACTGAATGATTGCATTCTTGGAATTTCCTGTGTTGATAAGTTCGATGGAACCATGCCGACTTTTGTAAGAAATTGTGTAGAAACGACTGCATTCCCATTGAAAGTGCTTTGAAATTGGACAGTTAAATTAGCTTGGCAAAAACTTGGGCGCATCATTTCCAGGGTAGAGCCCATGGATGTATGAACAGAACTGGATACAGCCGTTGAAATGGGGCCTTGTTAGTTCCTATGCAAATTGCTCATTGGCACATTAAGCCAAAACTTTTTGACTTTCGAGGGCAAAATGATGCAGATGTTCCATGTACTCAGGAAGTGGAAAGGGCGGTGAAGCAAATTTAAGGGAGGGACCAAACAGTGGTACTACAACTTCTGTGTCGGATACGTGATGTCATCAGGCCGAATTTCTTTGACATCAACCCACATTAGGAAAGAGTTGTCTGTAAATCAGTGGATAGTTTCTAGTCAGGTAAATTAACTTCACTTGAATAGTAGCTTTTTAAATCATTTGTTCGTGATTCCAGAGTTATCTTCTTTCTCCAATCATTTGACTGAGCCAAGATTGTCCTTGAGGGAGAGCATTGGAGGCGGGGCTTAGGCCTCAATGTGGATTTTTGCACTCGAGTCAGTTCAAAATGGGTTCATGCGCCACTGAGCAAGTTTCATAGGAAGGAACTATGCCCCGCCTCCAACGCTGTACCCAGTTCTCTATATAATGCCATTGTCTTAGCTCTGTCAAATGAAAGGTGAAGAAAAACAAACGGCCATTGGTGCGATTTATAACTTATAGGACCCAATTGTTTGTTCGTGGAAAGGTAAAAGCTGACGGAAGTAACGGAAGATTTGCTTGAAAGCCTGGCACACCTTTTGGGGGCTTGGTCGGACCTAGCTCAGCAACAAGAAGGGAAGTGGGTGTGTCTTAGCCTATTTTGATTTTTTTGTTTTGTTTTAGGGTAGAGGCACACAGCCATAACACAGTGTTTAGTCATCTTTATTGTTTGTGACACTATTCAATCTTTCTGTTCCCAGGAATCGAAGTCGGTGCTGAACCTGTTCACCAGGATACGATAGTGAGCAGCCGGTCAGGACTGGGTCAGGAGAAGGGTCCTGAGCTTTGACTGAAACGCACAGTCACCAGCCACAGCTCACAGACTAGCTCTTACAGCGCTCTCATCTCAGTGCACCACCAGCACCACAGTCCTCCTCAAACCCCCCTTTTCTACAGAGGCAGACCAACAACAACTGCCCCCCCTCACAGTGACGTCACTGATTAAAAAACGTAAGCAGTTTACTGTCAGGACATGTTGTCTGCTTTAAATAAAGTCAGTCTTGTTATCTTTTTCTGTTGTGGAAGTGATGAAATTGTTTTTATTATATATTAGCAGAAGTATACGTGTACATGATTATAAGCTATATAATTTCTCTTTTTTTTTAAAAGGCTCTCCTTTGTAACAGAGAGAAGAAGAAGCCTAGCTTGGGTGTGTGTTGGGGGGGATTTCTATATTTTGATAATGTGTGAAAATGATCTACAAGCATTATGAAAGAGAAAAGAAACAATAAATAAGTGAACACACACACAGCTGCTCATGCAGATGCAAAGAATGAACTGTTTATTGTTGTTTGTTACGGAGAGCGGAGATGGGACACTTTTTTACAAGAGTCTTGTAATAAAAACATGTTGCACAGAGCTCCTTTTATCCGAATAATCGTCCATTCAATCTCTGTTTTTGCTTTGGTTCAATCCAAGTATTATGGATATGTTGTCCATCGTCCCCAAACGGTCCAATTTGGCACCATTTACCAGTGAAGCAGATTCCGGATGTTTCTTCCCGAGCGCAGTGCTCCGAGCTCAGTCTATCTATGGGATTATCCGGCCCCCTGCAGACCCCGACAGAGGAGAGAAAACTCCTTCACGATCTCCTTAACGCGTCGCTTGTTGGTTTGCTCCCTGTAAGAAAGACAAATCAATGGATTTAGTCAAAACAACAGACTTTATTTCACTGTTTCTTGTGTCTCTTTTGCACATATATCTAGTTCCCTTGAGCTATAATGCAAAAAAGGTGTCCCTAATCATGTTTCCTTTATAATTAGTTCAGTTAGAGGGGGTTAGTTTCTTAGTATTAGATCAAATAATATATTTGTCGGGACGTACAGAGTGCCTTTTAATAATGCTTAGATACTTTTGGTATTTCCCTTCTCCCAATTCATTACAGCTCAGTTCCCCTGAGTTGATTGGAGGTGAACCAGATCACCTGCTGGCTCCTGATTAAAAATTGAGAGCAGCTGGGTGCATTTCCTCTCGGCCAATCAGGTGCTTTTCAGAGGGCTTAAGAGAGGAGGAGAACTGCTCCCCCACATCACTCTGATACTTCCTGATGCAGACCTCATTTCAGCAGATACTCACAGCTGGAAACTCTTTAGGCACTCTTGAGACTTCTTTGAAACTTTTCTGATTCAGAGATGTTAGGGCACTGAGACCTAGCTGGATTGGAAATGAAAAACCCCTTACCCTATGTTACCAGACTCGGGGCAGATTCTAGTGCCCTTGTTGGTAACTCCTGCAGCCTTTATTTTGTTTATTTTAATCAAATCCCCGCTCATAAACAGCTCCCTATGGTGAAAGAAGCTTTTGTATTTTATGAAAGAGGCTTTTGTGTCAAGGCACAGATATTTTCTACAAGAAAACATGGTTGGGTACTGGTTCTGAGGCTTCTTCCTGATAAAATGATACATTGTGGAATCAGTATAACTCACTGAACTCATCTGATTAGGGTTGCTTGTCATTGTCCCTTTTTCATATTTTCTACTGAGACACCTAAATGTAGTTTTATTTGTATATGAATCAAGAGTTTGAAACAGTGTTGGTGTTTGAAACTGTACCAGGTGCAGCCTCACCGCAGTAGCTGCTGGCTGAAGCTGTGCTTCTGCTCTGAGGAGACGTGTGCAGAGGGGAACCCTGGGCTCTGTAGACTTTCCTTCAGCCACTGAGCCAGCAGAGCCGGGCAGTGTCGGTTCAGACTCAACAACACCTCGGAGAAATGCTCCGTCAGACTGCGGGAGGACTCGCCTCCTACCGCCTGAGACAGAAATAAAAACTTAAGCTTCTCTAGAAGACACTATGACTAAACATCAGAGAGAACATGCATGCAGGAGCACTTTGTATCACATCCAGTTGTTTGTGGTGTTTCACCTGGAGTATGGTCTCTGTCAGAAGCTGTCCGTCCCTCTGCAACACTTCCCCGAGGGAGGGCATGTCCTTACAGCGAGGCAACAGCTCCGTCTGCCAGGGACACGCGTTGAAATTAGATTAGTTTTCTTTTTAAATCGCTTACAATAAAAAGAAAATGACTTTGCTTACTTACAAAGAATTGAGCGGCAGCTTTTACTGTGGGTGTCTCTGGAAACTTAAGTGTTAGAATCCCTAGGGGGGAAAAAAGAGTAAAAGCACTTTATTTTTACAAATACTTCAACAAACAAGTCCCAACATCCAAGATTATGGAAAACAAAACAAAAAAAAGGCTTTTTTTCACATTTCAATTCGACAACACATTGAACTGAATCTAAAATAATCACAAAGTGCTGAAATATTTAACAAAAATCTGTCGTACATTAAACAATGGCCTATACTCACCGCAGTAAAACAGCCCTTTAACATCGAGCTGCTCAGACAGGTAGAGTTCAGGCTTCCTCTTAAGAATCTAAGTGAACACAAAGTGATCAGGGGACAGTTCTGTGTGCTGCAGACTTACAGAACAAAGAACGAGAACACTCAACCCACCTGAGCGTGAAGGTTCATAAATGATTCTGCGATGTCAGGATGATTCCGTGGACCTGAGGATGAAATACAAGATGAGACAGGAGAAATATCTCTGAGATCATCAAGACATTTCTCTGTCGATGTTTGTTACCTTGCTGAAATAAATGAAGTGTCACAGATGTCAACACCTCTATGAGGCCCCTGATGGTACAGAGGTGTTGTTCCTCTCCGGAGAATATGTGAACCATCTAAAACAAGAGAAAGAAAATAAGATTTGATTTCCAAAGAATTTGAATGTTAGGTCGTGGGTCATAGGGACACATTCCTGGCCGTAGAGGTCCTATTATCCCTTTGGGGGGTTCCCTTTCCTGTAGTGTGTTCTATAGGTTTTATGTTTATGGTCTACAAAGGCTTAAATCCCAAAGTCTCAAATCACAACAGAACTGGCCAGCTAACCAATCAGACCAGACTGGGCTCTAGTTTCAGACAGAGGGTGAAAAGAGGTGCTGCAGCACAGGCAGTATGAGAAAAATAAAGAGCTTTTTGAACATTAAAGCATGGAGACATGTCCCAGTAGAGGCACTAAATACAAATATGAACCAGAAAATGTCCTCTTAAAGAGTTATGCACCAGAGTTAGAGTCAGAATTAGAGTTTTGAGGGATCATGCATTAACTCAGGCCCTGATCTGTGGAGGCGTACCTGCCGGGCAAGGTCCAGAGCTGAGGATTGTGGGTAGGCGCTGTAGATCTGCCCCAGCATCTCGCTCAGATGAGCCACCATTGGCCCAAAATCATGTAGGAGAGTTCGGACCGACTTATCGAAGACCCCACACACTGCCTGCAGAGGGAGAGAGCTGTGAGTCATGCATACATCATACATGCACACAAAACATCACATACATACATATTTATGCAAGCAGTACAAAAACTCCTACCTCTACTACTTCTGAGTCATCAAGCCACTTGCTGAGGATGGTTTGGATCAATGTGAACACTTGCTGCAGAACAACAACTACCTAAAAACAACATTTGATAAGATTTTATTTTAATATTTCACATCAATTAACAATTTATACTTATATCACCTTTCAAAAGGGTGAGAGCAGTTTAAAATGCTTCACAGACGACTGAAAAGACAGAAATAAGAAGACAGAACAAGCAGAAAGGCAAAACTAAACAAATAAGACCAATGCTGGATTGTAATACAATTTAATTCAAAGCTATACTAACCAAGAAAAACAATATGGAATAACGAAAATAGATGAAGTAATAAACCATAACTTTGAATGAAATGATACAGCATAAATACCATTTAAAATCTCCATAAACCATTCTTAGATAAAAGCCTGAATTGGTAGGTTTAATGTTTATTTTGAAAGATTCTCAGGCAAACTGTTCCGGAAGCTCTGATCATAAGAGCAAAAGCTTGCTCACAAGTAGATCTTTATGTAGGTTTGTATTTTGATACATTCTTGACATGTCTGCGATATTGAGTGTTGTTTCAACAAAGCACAATTTGGAAACATTGAAATACTGTAGTTTTAAGATGATGGAGGTAGTGGTACATGAACTCACTGGATTGGGGGTGCTCTGAGGGGTGGAGGGTCTCTGGCTGGAGGCGGACTCTGAGCTGTCTGAGTCTCTGATGTCCAGAGTGGTGAAGAGGCTTGACAGCATCCCCAGGATGTGGACGATAGCCTGTTTGTTAGTGGGGTCCGGCTGTGCAGGGAGACAGAGTGGGTGGGTCAGATATTACACCTTGTGATGCCAGTGAACATTTACAGCTGTTGTGAGAGCAAAGTACTTAGTAGCACTAGTGATGGCCTGTGTAATAGTCCTGTTTTAGATCGAACTCATCATTTAAGTGGTATTGCTTATTTTTAAACATATGTGACAGTAAAGCACTACTAGAGGAAATCTATGTATTGCAGTATGATATCATATTATGACCTAAAATAGATGTTGTACTTTTGCAGAAAATCTTCCAAGGTGCACACAGCTATTTTTTTTTTGTAGGAGCATGGCCTGTGAACCCGAGGGTCACTGGTTCAAGTCCCCGCATGGACCAATAAAATAAAATAAATAAATACAAAAACGTGCTTTGGACTGGTAGCTGGAGAGGTGCCAGTTCAACTCCTGGCCCCTGCCGAGGTGCCCTTGAGCAAGGCATTGAACCCCAAAGCGGCATCAGGGTGCCAGACTATGGCAGCCCCTCTGCTTTGACACCCCTCAGTTCATGTGTGTGTTTGTGTGTATGGAAAACAGCACAGTGTTGGATCTTCAGAAGGACATGCATGAGTTTCTTCATACCTCCTGCTGGGCCAGTGTGTCCAGCCGCTGGACGTGAGGGGTGATGAGAGAGTGAAGTCTGCCCAGAATCTCGTCTACAGGCAGGGCGGACAGGAGGAAACCCAGAGCCTGCATCAACCACATGCACTGGCTGCTCTGCACACACACACACACACACACACACACACACACACACACACACACACACACACACACACACACACACACACACACACACACACACACACACACACATGAAGTCCTCAGAGAGACGCTTAGCTTTGCATTTGTGTTTACAAGATTACAAATGACTGCAAATGTTGAAGCCTGTTTACTCACCTTATGGATTTCTTTTACGAGTACATCCTGCAGATATACACAAGTGTTAATGTAAAGACAGCTTTATCGCTAATGATAAACAAAAAGAGGCTGTGTGGGACCTGTGAGACGGTCAGGACGTCCTGGGCGTAGGGGCTGAGGTCATGTCTGCACTCCCTGCAGATCCTCTTCAGAGTGGACACACTGGACACAGACAGCTCTGGCTTCACAAGGCCCTGAAGCACCATGGGTAATATGCCACCCAACATCACGGGGTGATCTGCCAGCCACTCAGCCAGAGATCCTGGACAACAGGGGAAATTCAGAATGCATACTCAAAGTGAATGGGTGTGAAGCCATACCAAAAAACTAAAAGTAACATAATCGGGTATTCTAATACTAATATTTGGCTTTAAAGGAGACTTCAATATATAAAACTCACATTTTTAGTGCCACAAAAACGTCATTACTCTGGAGGGCCAACCGAACGACGAATTATGAAATAAAACAACCTTATCAGTTCTTTGTTGACTTCCTTGGTCATGGGATGCACTTTTCCTACAGTATGTCACATGCAGGATCATCAGAATATACTGACTGACATCGGAGCATATCCACCCACATGTTAAGAACTACCTTGAGATTGGTGCATTGTAATTTCATCGAGAGCTAATCAGAGCAGATTGGGCTTTTTCAGGAGGGGCTCTTAAAGAGACAGGCACTTAAACTGAGCGTTTTAGACAGAAACTGAATTCAGGTTTATTCAGGCTGACAGTATGGGAAATATATTGTTCTAATAAAAACCCTAAACACAAGTATGAACCTGAACATGAGCGTGATATGTCCACTTTAAAGGTGGGGTAGGTAAGTTTGAGAAACCGGCTCGAGATGCACTTTTTGTTATATTCCATGGAATGCTCTTAACATCCTGATAGCAATGAATATCTTAAGTGCTTTGACAAAAAATCCATAAAAAAATGTCATCCGTGGAAGCTGCGGTACTGTAAAAAGCGCACTCAAGCTGGTTTCTCCAAAATTACCTACCCCACCCAAGTCATTATAAAACAAAGCGTTGGAGTTGTTAATAGTGACCCATTAAGAAACAGGAGTTTGGATATGTACCTATGGCGTACATGACGGTGTCAGCCAGCATTACATTGCTGATGTTGATTCTGGGGATGAGACCAATAAGACCTGGGATAACGTCTGAGTAGTTCACGTCTATGGTCTCAGCGATGGACTGGAAGCCAAATAACAGGGCCTCTGTGTCCTGAAGATGGAGAGAAACAAAGTGTATTTATTTACTTTGCAAAAAGTTGTGAATGTAAAGATGTAAAGATTTAGTAGATGAGCATTACCTGCCACACTGCTGACAGTTGGGGGTCCATCAGTTGTCTGCCCAGCCTGTCGTACAGGTTACTGAGCAGCTCCGCCCCCAGCATTTCATACACATACATCAATGTGTCGGAAATGTCAACTCTGTAATGCAAAGGAGAGGTGGAAACACAGTGTGACATAAGGTGAAAGTTAAGTGTGCTGCTACTCTTTTTAGCAACTCAAACATCCAGTGGATGTTTTTAGTTTTGTGTCTTACCTGTAAATTCTGAACTGCTCCTTGTCGTCAGAGGACCAGGAGGCGTACTCCTCCTGGGAGGGATAGTGGGATTTATGTAGCAGCACATCCACCAGTTGGAAGTAAACTGGCCTGTAGACCTGCAGGTAAACTGCCTGCTTCTCCTCATCAAATGACAAGATGTCATCCTAAATAAGCAAGACAAAATGAAATAGAACGTTTGGTTCCTTAATGTTTTGGTAGCAGAGTTACACATAGACACATTTAGTGCTCAATATATCATTTTCATTTACTTCTCAATTAAAACACTAACTAAAGACGTTCATGGGGTGTTTACAGGGACTTGATTGAACTGCATTGGTCTTCAAAATGAACAAATCCGAGGTTAAAAGCCAGTAAAAAACACTGAACAAAATAATAACTAGTTAAAATCAATGTTTTGTATGTATGTAGTTTGGCTTCTGCGAATGTTTGCTCAGCTTGTCTCTTTATAAATTAAGATCTAGATGTGTGATGACTAAGATCAGGTCAAACGTTATTATTAAAAACAGCCAAGATCAAACCAACTATTAAAATATTAAAATAGATAAAGACTCCATTTATGGCAGCTTCTAGCAGACAGCTACAATGCTGATGCATGCACAAAGTGGACACATCGAACATAATGAGTAAACTAAAATAAAAGGACAGTTACCTTAATACAGAAATGTGTTTGGATAGGTTCACAACTCAACAAAATATATAACACGTCTAGTTGTTTGCAGTCATTTAATGCTGAGATGTTTCATATTAAACCACTAACTTCTTTATCAGAAAATAACGTTTAAAAAAAAATGTAATGTACAAAACATGTTTTTTTATCGAATTAGTTTTTTTAGCGTACCTGCAGAGTGTACCAGAAGGTGAGCGTCAGGGAGCTGGTGGTCTCACTGACCGGGTAGTACCCTGGGATGCCGGTACAGAACAGAATCATGTTCACCAGAGCCAGATACTCCTGCCAGTGCTCCACCTGTTCCAACAAAACCCTGTCAGACACAAACACATTGTTCCCAATTAAGAAATAAAAGTAATTTGCTGAAGCCAGGTTAAAGGAAGGTGGTGTGTGTGTGTGTGTGTGTGTGTGTGTGTGTGTGTGTGTGTGTGTGTGTGTGTGTGTGTGTGTGTGTGTGTGTGTGTGTGTGTGTGTGTGTGTGTGTGTGTACCTGGAGTGTGTTTCCCCCATAGCAACAGCGATACGACAGATACCATGTGAGCTCTCCATGTCCCCGTCCCTCGCCGCTGTCTTCAGCTGGTCATGGAGACCGAGCACCAGAGGCATCAGGGTCACCAGAGCATCAGTGTACCTGCACATACACCTTCTGATTCACACACCTGCACATGGACTGTGACCTTTACAAACATGTATGATGCAGTGTAAAGTGGTAGAAGATATATTTGGATGCTTTGCTTAAGTGAAATAAGGTATACCACAATGTGAAAATACTCGTCTTAAAATAAAAGTCTTTCATTCAATACCTTTTATAAGTCTTTGTCATTAAAATGTAGTTCAAACGTATGATAAATGTGTAAAAATATATTGATTGGTTCCTTATTGTTCCCTGTCAGTTTTTTTTAAAAACAATTTTTCCAGTAATAGTATTGCTAAATTGATGTGCTGCAATGTACTGCATAGATGTTCAAGGTTGTACCAAGTTCTACTTATGAACTGTTTTCGTGGTTAAATCCACAGCTTTGCACCATATCTTATAAGCATAGGCGGATTTTGCGGGGGGGCAGGGGGGGCATTGCCCCCCCTAGTGGCTGAAATATGTT